GCTCTCGTACCACCAGGCTCCCTTGTAGGTCACAGCACAGCGATATCTGTCCTTGTCCTTGGTTGCAAAGGGCTGCCCACGATGACGAGAAAGAGAATCGCCCGCATTTCCTGGAAAACTGAAAGTTTTCGAAGCAGAGGGAATTTTTCCCATGGTGCTATGCAATTAATTTGGAAAGCTACAAAAGAAGCCTATCGATTAATCTGGTGTTCACGAAACAGATAAAAACAACTTTTTGAAGCTATTTTTATTAAAATAGCATTAAAGTCGATTCACTTTTCAGACTAAAATCAATGTTCTAAGTTAATGCGACGAGCTATAATTTTCTGATTTATATATCTGTTAGCGAATATTTAAATGATTCCATAGAGTTCAATTGGTTTATCGAAGCAAGTTAAAAGCACTGTTTCAAGTTCAGTCAGTGAATACTGCAAGTTCTCATAAAAATAGATTTCTTTATTATCACCGATGTTACCTGAGTAAGTTCCAAGGCTCAGCTTGTATTTATTCTCACTGGCAACAGCAAGCATGTTGTATTCGGCGTAAGCAGTTTTACCTTTGGTGTCCATCAGATGTACACGGAGCTTGTTCTTTATTGTTGTTGTAAGACGGTGTATCTTGTCCAGTCCCAGCCAAATTTCACCATGCAGATTACCAAAGCCATTTTTGTAATCGGTCCAGCCGCGATAGAAGTCAACCGAGCCATCCAGTCTCTTCTGAAACACTGTCCACCCCCCACCGGCTGCCGTTTGGTCACAGAAGACACTAAAGGCACCGTGACCATCAGGGTCAATTGTATAAACACCGCTACTTGTTTTACCAGATTTGTACAGCTCAGCACAGTTCTTCTTAACTGTTGGAAGACATAAATGGATTTGCGCGAGAATCGTAAGACTTTGTTGATAACATGACAAGCTTCTCCATTTGTCTCTTACCTTCAGTACAGGTGTGTCGAGATTCACTGAGCATCTTGTTTTCTTTGATAGAAGCAATGTCGTTTTGCATTTCGAGAAGTGTTTCTTTTATTTCTCTAAGGAGAGTTTCTGTAGATTCTTCAGAAATGAGAAGAGGTTAATCAGGACAGGATAGACAAGATTAAAATCCATAGGATTTCCCTTATCTGAGTAACAATTCCAAACAAATGGAAAGGAAAAAATGATAATCTATTGTGAACATACCTTTACATGAAGTGTTGTTTCTCGCTTTGATAATGCTGACATCATTTTTAACGTGCATAAGCTGTTTCTTCATTTCCTGAAGAAGTGTTCCAATCTTCTTGTTTGGTGTTCCTGCATGGAGGCTGAAGTAGACATTTTTACATCGGTTTGTGGGTGAAGAACCGACTGGCGTGCTAGCGCTGTTACCTGGCTTAGCAGACGTTTGACACGCCACGATAAGGGTCAAGGACAGAAAACTGCGACGAAAATCTGAGAAAACAAGAGTCATCATACTTATTGAATATTGGCTCTAGTTTAACTGTCGATAACTTGAGGTTGTCACTGACTGGTTAGAACGCAGAAGTAACCTATTTTAGAACAACAAGCGTGTGCGTCATTGAAATTATTGCGAGAGTTTTTTCGCGTTATACTGCTCTCTTGAGTCCATTGTCAACGTCATCAGTTGAAATCAAGCCACCGACGGAAAAATCGTCTTCTACTTGAAAAAAATGGAGGCATCTTTGGAAAAACTTCTGTATGATCTTGTTCTCTCTTTTCCTAATATGATAATTCAGTTTTTTGAGGTTCACTGTGATGTCGGTTAGTGTTGACAATTGGTAGAAATACTAACGGTTTGAAAAGTTTTGTTCACCTCACCCCGTGAAACCTGACTAAATTACCTTTTGAAGGTTTTTCGTATTCCTGAGAATAAGTAAGTGAATGACGCAGCTTATTTACCGCCATGTATGCATGTCAACTTACAAGAAAGGTGCTTTACTTTCCGATTATGATTCATTGCTGATAGCCATTAAGATAAACATTGTTGTAAACATATCCCCGCATCGATTTCTTTTGGATAACTGACGAATATCCTCCCTTGGTATCGGAAGAGAGAAACAAAACAGAGCCATGATCAGTTCAGGTAATTTATCATGGTATGTGTCAGAATTTTGAGTGCGCGTAGTATATATTTGAATCATGTTAGTTTATCCAATTGACCGTGAGGTGAATACAACTTACGATTATTCATCGAAATCACGGAGTGCTTTTTTAATTTTTTTAAGTGCATTTTGGAAGGATTCGTTGTCCTGGTATACGTTTGGCTGAATCTCGACAATTTGGAAATTTATACGCTAGTCTGAGCATTTAAAACCCTAGAGCCAGCTATAGTCGATAAACAATCGAATAAAAATTCATGAAATGTTTAGATTAGGGCGCTCTTGCTAACAGACAAGGTCCGTTTTCAGTTCATATAGATTTATCCGATTTAACTAAAATAAGACATTCATTGGGTCGATCGATGTCTCCTATCAATTCTTGTAAAGATTAGAAAATAAAAGTTTTTTGAAAGAACCTGTTAAAGAACCTGCTTGTAGAATAAAATTTGATTCAGTTTAATTTAATTTAAACAAAACAGAAAGTTTTTGCATTATAAAAAGTAAAGAACAGTTAGTGATAATTCAAAAACTACCTGATGGTCTCTCGTATGTCACATCTTAAAGAAACACAATCTTAGAACCACGTAGATCATATGGATGACTGCATGAGGAAAACGATAAACTATTGTTAACTGTTATCATTCCAATTTCCATCACTGCTTTTGGTAAGGTAAGCACTTCAGTTAAAACATTACCCTAGGCAAGTCGCTCTGCAGAGAGAGGTAATTTTCAGCTTATCAAAATGGATTGATTCAGCTGAAAGACTTGCTGTAGTCGTTGTAACGACTAGAAATTGAGATTTGTATTTTATCCTTAATATGCATGAAGTAAATATGAGCACTCTTTCTTACAAATTACTGACTACGGCGGATGCTTTACCGAGGTAGCCACCTACCTAAAATCTTGTTGAAAGCTCTGTTGCTTATAAAAGATAAAATTAAACACATCTCGGTGATTCTAAGCAATTAGTACATAAACAGATGAGAATTTTGGTCTTGTTAGCTGCTAAAAAAATAGTTTTTTTAAAAATTACTGGTCTCGTGAGTAATTGAAGGCCATAGTCTCTCTTTGGCCTCGTTCTACCTAACGCAATATCCGGTGGGTCATTTAGTCTTTAAAAGAAAAATCTGAGCCGGATTCAGACAAAATGTATTTCACAGCAGCCAACGGGATAGACAATCACCTGTGTGCCACGATAAATGAATATCACAGCTACACCGCTAATTTGCGAGACTAGCTTCAGACGCATATTCTTTTCGTTCACGACTTCCACTATCCTAATTAATTTGCTTCAAAGAGAGAAGAGTAAATAACAATAAATAATAAATTGAAATAAAAATTAATACACATCTATTCACATATGCATTGGCAGAAATATTGGACAAGATGGCGGCCATGCTTG